GGGTAGCCAACTAGGGTTTAGGGTTTAGGGTTTAGGGTTTAGGGTTTAGGGTTTAGGGTTTAGGGTTTAGGGTTTAGGGTTTAGGGATGGGAGAACTTTAAGCTTGTTGGCCTGATATCTGTTTATACATATATATATATATAGAGAGAGAGAGAGAGTTCATTTCAAGAAGTTTGAACTTTTGTAAATCCCAAGCCCTAAACCGATCTTTGGGTAGCGTTTTTGAAGAAAAGAGGCTATGCCTGAGAATCAACTCGTGCCCAACATCACAAGCCACTTCGGCCGATCTGAAAGCTTGTCTCTGGAATTGCTTAGGGTTTCGGGTCTAGGGAATCAGGTTAAGGGGTATTAAGGATTGGGGTAGGAAGCTGTATCCATCGGTTGGGGCTGGCAGGGGTTTAGGGTTTGAGGCTACCAGCTTGGGTTTAAGTCTTCGGGCTTAGGTTACAATGCCACCATCAGCTCTCTTGCTGCGGGTGCACAGTGGCAGATGGCTTTGCACCTATTCAGCGAGATGCCTGACACGGAGCCCGGAAAGAATCTGAACATCAGCTACTTGCCGATTCGGTACAGTTTGGGGTTCTGCATTCATGTCACACTTGTATCGCGTGTTTGTGCACGGACCAAGCCTCCTGGCACATCAGCCCTTAACCCTGAACCCAGAGCCTCAATGCTAAAGCCCTGTGTGCCCTAAACCCGAAACCTCAAACACCAAACTTTCCCACATCTGCAACAGCTCAGGCTACAATGCCACCATGACCTCCTGCGAAAAGGGGGGGCAGTGGCAGCTGGCTCTCTTCGTCTTTCACTCCATGCCTCAGGCCAAGCTGCTACCGGAGCCTAGGCTAAAGTTACTGTAGGGATCTCTAAGGGTTCCTTGAAAGGTTTGGAAAAGGATCCGCTAAAGTGATGTATGAGGTTTGGTGTTCTTGCGTTTTAGGTGTTCTTTAGAGAATAAGGCTTTGACTTCAGGATTTAGGCTTGAGGGTTTACGTTGTGAATGCCTTGGTTGATCATACTTCTGGAGTGTGGCATGGTACAGTCTTGAGAAAGTTTATAGGGCCTCAGTGGCGGCCTCAGTGGTTGCCGGAATTTGACACGTTGGGGCCTAAGGGTTGCACAGTTTTAGGGCATACGTCATCTGTTTTGATAATGCTTCCCGCTTACGCAATCTCTGGTTGAGCAGTGTCCCGGCCAGACAGTCCAAAACTGGGCTCTTGTTAAGGGCTTTAATTTAAGTTGCCATAATAAGGAAACCCTATTATTTACTTTAGATCCTTATTATGGCAACTCAAACCATTAGACCCTAAACCCGTTTATAAACCATAAGCCCTAAACCCTACAGATCCTTATTATGGTAACTTCAATTAAAGCCCTTCACAAGAACCCAGAAAAAGCCACTAAACCCTAAACCCCTAAACCCGAAACCCTAAACTAAGCCCTGAATCGAGGACGTGATTAGCTACAGCACCGCCATCAGCGACTCTGGGACCGTGCAGTAGTACCGTTTCATTTGCCTACCCCCAATTTTAGGTTTCAGGGTTTAGGGTTTAGGGTTCCACCAGTTTTATATTTGGGATCCTATAAACTAACTTTCAAAACGGAACTGCAATGAAGACTAAAGGTAAGACTCCAGGTATACAGACATCTAGTCGCTGCTTTGGGTTCTAAAGTCTATTAAGTAGAAACTTCTCCGGCTCCAAAAGTGGGATGAAGGTAGGTGGGGTAACTCCCGAATAAGCGCCGCCCCAAGCCCTAAACCCTTATATAAGGCATCCTTTACCCGACCTACCTTCATCACCTTTTGAGGCCTGCAAGTAACAGTACCTACTGCTGATGGCATGAATCCTGCATTACCTTAAGGACCCTGAACTATGTGTGTTTTTGTTTGTACATTCCTTGTTATGGGTTATGCAGGATTTACATCATCAGCCGTACTTGGGGCTAGTTGGCATCTTCGGATGTGGGTTCTACGAGGGTCCTCTCAGGCATGGCTTTTTCTTTTGCCTACAGTCTCCGCTGTAGTTACTCTTTAGGAATACCAAATAGGATTCTAAAAATATTTCAAACTGCCTAAATCCTAAACCCTAAAGCCCTAAAGCCCTAAAGCCCAACGCCCTGAAATCCTAAGCCCTAAACCTTTAAAACCCTAAACCCATCACAAATTTCTTTGGTGAAGCCCGAAACAGGGAGCTAGAATGGAGACTAAAGGTACGGTTCCATGAGGCTGCTCAGGGGTTCCCAGGTAGGGTTTAGGGTTTAGGGTTTAGGGTTTAGGGTTTAGGGTTTAGGGTTAGTTACCCTTTGGGTTTACTTGGACCCTTAAGAACCTCCCTTTTTAGGGCTCCTTGTCATGGATTTCCTTATAGAAGTCCTGAAAAAGGTTCTTTGGGGTCTAGGTAGGGTTTAGGGAGTACCCTTTCTACTTCTGTTTCCTGTTGAAATGTCAAGTTTTCAGGCGGAACAAAACCCTATACACCGTAGGCAAATCCTCAACCCTAAACCCTACACCCTAAACCCAAAAACCCTAAACCCTAAAACCGTAAAACCTAAAACCGTAAAACCCTAAACGCTAAACCCTAAACCCTAAAACCCTAAGCCCTAAACCCTCAGAAGGGAACCCAGGCCTTCGAGAGAGATGGCCAGTGGCAGTTGGCCAGCGCTTTCCTCGACGCCATGGCGAAGCAGAGCCTTCCACGCGACTTGCCGGTGCTGAAGCCTTCAGGGTTAAGGTTTAGGGTGTCGGGGTTTAGGAGTTTAGGGTTTGGGGGTTTAGGGGGTTTGGGTTCAGGGGTGTAGGGGTCTAGGGTTTAGGGGTAGTTATGTAAGTCAATATTTGGGAGAGCAGTATATGACTACCAGGTACTAGGACCCTTCGGGAAGGCCTAATGTTAGGGAAGGCCGACTTCTATAGGAGCCTTCATGCTTAGAACAGGGCTTTGAGGCATATTTTGCTATGCTTATGATGAGGAATCCTAAGGAATGATTTTGGGATCGATGGCTTAAGGGGGAGGGGAGTGGTTCTCTGTAGCAGTCCCTCTCAAATCACATATAGACGTCCTTATATTCCTTGTGCAGCACAAGTCAGGCGACATCATCATCTTCAATGCTGCTATCAGCGCTTGTGAGAAGGACTTGGGAGAAAGCAACAAGTTAAAGACCCTGAAGCCCAATCCTACACCCTGAAAGTTGTTTGTGATGTTTGGGGTAGATGGAACTTAAGGAATAGAGTTTTGGGCTTGAGGTTCTTTAGGGAGTTGCGTAGCTCAAACTCCCAGATATTAAACCTTAGTGCTTCCAGCATCATAGCTCCCTGGCTGACAACATAAAGTTCAAGTTGCAAAATACCAAGGTAAAGTCATGCAGCGCAGATTGATGTTCAGAAAAAAGGAGCCAAAACAGTGATCAGAAACGAATACCGAGAATGGTAACTGGTAATGCTCATCGAATTATCGAACCAGTAATATTGTCAAATCGAGCCTTGCGCACGAACTGCTCTGTGAGGGGTGTCGCTCATTGCAAATCAGATTTCAATGCCTGCACCCCTGGAGCATAAACCTTGCAAGCCCTAAACCCAAGAAGGGCACGCAGTGGCAAATTGGATTGCACCTCTTCGACTCCATACACATGACAAGCTTGACTCCAGATGTGATCAGCCACTTGGATCTGCAAGACGAGGCATACCGCTGATGCCCAAAATCCTGCATGACTTACAACATCGCACAGATCCCATGTCGTGCCATCCACTTCCTTGCAAGCCCTTAGTTTCAACGTTGCATCCCCATGGGGTCATGCAGGATTTTGGGCATTCGCGCAGTCCCGGGTTTTAGCCCTTGCATCAGTGCAGCATTCAAATTGGGGGGTAGCAGGGGAGCCGTGGGAAGGTTCAAAGTGATGCAAGATTTCGGGCATCAACCGCATGTTGAGATTGACTAATAAGGCTCTCAAACCCCAAGCGCGCAGCTAACCAATTATGCCTTATATACGCTAAAACGTTAAACCCTGCAGGCCTAACCTTTGGTGCTAGAGGAGCGAGATTGGGTACCAGCGCAGAGCCCTGAGAAAGGCTCCACTTCGGATGCTGCTGCACTCTTGTCCTGTATTCTAGGGCTACTGCAACTACTGCTCCATGTCCCACCTTGGTGTATGCTTAAGCCGCTAAGCGTTACAGAGGGTCCTGTGTGGCGGCTTGAGGGGCCGGGCTCTTGTTTTGCTCAGGATTCGTGGTTCAAGTTGGCACCTGTAGAGTTTGTTCACTTCCTCTCTGAGCAATCCCCACCCCTCATGCCCTCAACCGTCAACCCCTAAACCCTAAACCCTAAACATTAAACCCTAAACCCTAAACATTAAACCCTAAACCCTAAACATTAAACCCTAAACCCTAAACATTAAACCCTAAACCCAACTTGCTAGCTCTTCTAGGTTGACCTCCTTTGTATCGAGCTCCCGCCCCGTCTCCTTCTAAACCCTTGCTGTCGTTTGAGTATCGGGCCTTCTGCAGCTAAATGCCTAAACCCTTCCCTACAGTTTGTTAACTCCCTGAATTTTTGGGTTTTTTCAGCTAATCCTTAAAATGTCAGGCCATTAAGCCTCGCCTTGTTTCCCGACAACCTGGCTGTTTCAGGACTGTTTTCTAGAAGTCAGAATGCAGGAGCCTGAAATCTAGTTTCTGCCGTTATAATGCAGACCCTAAAATGACAACGCCTAGCTTTTTCGGGACTTCCATGGCATCAAACGTCAGAATTACCCCAAAAAGGTTTTGTTCAGCTGTGAAGGCAGGTCCCAAGTTCAAGCCGCCCAGGCTTTAATGCTGCCATCAGCACCACGCCTAGGTTTTCCAGGAATTCCATGGCATCAGACGTCAGAATAACACCAGAAGGCAAGGATTTGTTTAGAAGTGAAGGCAGACCCCAGACTCAAGCCGCCCAGGCTTCAATGCTGCCATCAGCACCTGCGAGAAGGCTGAGAAGTGGCCTCTGGCTCTGCGGCTGCTGGCATCTATGCCACAGGAGCCCAGACCATGTCGCTGTGGGGCTGCTTTGAAGGGTTCTCTGAAGGTAACTATTTAAGGGTACGTACTATGAGTCGCAGTAGGGCTCCTTTTACAGGGATGTTTGCAGGGGCCTTAGTCATCAGAATATGGTTTGGGTCCGGATGGTTATGCTATAGCGTATAAGAAGGAACCCCAAGAAATGAAATACTACCCCTGGAGGCAATACAGATTGAAACTTTATGTCTGGTATCACAACAACTGAAAATTCTTACTATACTAGAAGGTACCCAAAACACTATTGATATCATTAAGGCTCCTATATTGCAGTGCTTAGCTGCCCAAACCCACAAGCCTGAACCCTAAACCTTACAATATAGAAGCCCTTCTTAATGACAAATGCTAGTGTTATTGGGGTTCTCACCAGAATCCAAGTCTAAACCCAATACTAGTTCTAAACATAATATTGAGGTCCTTAGAACCCAAAGGGTCCTGTGTACTGTTATGGGGGGGGTTACTTCCCTGTATCATACTAGTAATTCCTTATATGAAACCCTACAGTCTACTATAGTTGAGGAAACCCTTAAAGCAACCATAAAGTCCTAAATCCGTAAAAGGTTTAGGGGTCTGGGTTGAGCGGTCTACGGCGTTAGGGTTTCTACACCTTAAGCCCTGCTCCAAGGGCCCGGGAGTTGGCTTTCCTCTCGCTGGGCTCAGCTTTGGATGTCGTTGCGGAGCTCAAAGGTCTAATATAGGGGCCTTAATAATTAGAATAGGGTTTGGGGTATAGTCTCCTATAGTTGTAATAAGGAGCCCCCTATAAGGAACCCCCTATTCTAATTATTAAGGCCCCTACATTAAGCCGGAACACGGATTAGGCACCGGAATGTAGGGTTTAGGGGGTTGAGCGGTTTAGGGCTTCGGGTTTAGAGGCTTAATTAGCGGTTTAGGGTTTAGGGTTTGGGGGCTTAGGGGTTTGGGGGCTTAGGGGTTTAGGGATTTAGGGTTTTGTTTAAGGTATATGGAAAACACATCAGCTTCATGGTCTGTTGCATATTTCGGGCTTTGGGTTCGAGCGTTTTTGGGGTTTTGGGCTCAGGGTTTGGGGTTTGGGGTTTAGGGTTTATAAGGGCTTAGGGTTTAGGGTTCAAGGTTCAAGGTTTTTGGGGTTTCGGGCTGGTGCCCCCCTAGCGCTGAAGGCCAAGCTCACAAGAACGCAAGCCAAAGCCTGACAGCACCGGCGCTATGCGTTTCTAGAGCTCGAGGTTTAGAGCTTAGGGTTAATGGTCCCTAAACCCTGAACCCTAAACCCTAAACTGAGCTCGAAACCTCCGACCCGAAACCGAAACCCTGAATTGAACCACAAGCTGCGAAAGCCCTTAAACCTTAAACCCCAAACCTTAAATCCTAGACCCTAAAAACCTTAAGCCCAAAGTGAAGCCTTGAATTCAACCCTATGCCCTGAAAGCCCTAAGCCCAATGGGAAGCCCTGAATTCAGCCCTAAACCCTTGAACTTCACAAGCTCCGAAAGCCTGCAAATGCCCGTTTCAGGCCGAAGTTCCTCCGGACGTTGTCAGCTTCCAAGCTTGGCCTAATACAGGGGCCTTAATAATTGGAATAGGGTTGGGGGGGGTTCCTAAAGTTATAGTATAATATGCCCCAAAGGGGGCCTTAGTAAACAGAATAGTGTTTGGGGTATATACGTACTATACTAAGATTTTACAAGGAGGAGACCCCAAAGCCGTATTGTAACCCTAAGGCTCAAAATAGCCCAAAAGCCTTATATAGTAGGGTCTTTGAGCCCAAAAGCCTTAAAATATGAGTCCTCAGAGCCTTATTCTAACGATTAAGGCCCCTACTTAACTTAGCCTCGGTTCCTGTTGTCCCTTTAAGGCTCTCTCTAGGGGTTCCCTCAAGGGTTCAGGGTTTAGGGTTTAGGGTTTAGGGTTTAGGTTCCTGTGTGGGTTTCTACCAGGGGGTTTATAAGGGCAAGGGTTGCCAGAGCCTTACCGGAACCCATTGGGGCCTTTGTACCTATATAGTCGACTGCAGGGCTTCTATATTCTTAGGGGTACTTAGAAATATTTTTTAATCTTTGGTTACTATAAACCCTAAGAAGCAGCTAAAATTATAATTTTTGCTAGGGGTCTAAGTTCAGTATAGTATTGGGGTTTCCTAAGTTACAGTAGGATGTAGCGTTTTTATGCAAGGAATTGTACTCATGATTTAGGGAAGTGTACCCCCGTAACACTACGTAGGATCCTTTTTGGTAAACCCTTAGCATCAAAATAGCCCAAAAGCCTCATATAACAGGGTCTTTGGACCCAAAAGCTCTTAAGATCTGAGTCCTTTGAGGGTCAGGGAAAGGAAAGCAACCGTAAACCCTAAACCCTAAAACCCTAAGCCCTAAACCCCATTGGAACGTGCTGCCAGAGGCTTCAATGCCGCAATCAGCGCTTGCGGTCCGGCAAACTGGCGGCTGGCTCTCCATCTGCTCCTCATCTGACCTTTAAGGTTCCCGTTTAGGCCCCTAAACCCTAAACCCTAAACCAAGTTTAGGCTGTAGGGCGGGTTCAGGTTTTAGGGTTTATGGCTTCGGGTTAGGGTTAAGGCTTCTAGCTATAAGTTATATGTCTCTTTTCCGGGTTCTATAAGGCTTTCTACGGGATTTGGGGAATTTAAGGTTTTTAGGCATCTGCCCATCTTTGTTCGAAGAGTGGTAGGGTCCGCAGGCATTTTGGGATTCAGGTTTTTCAACTTTCACTGTTTTCTGGTGTTTTATCCGCAGAGCCCTTAAGGAAGCTTAAACGAGGATCACTTGAAGGAACCCTTATAGAGCACCCTAAACCCTAAACCCTAATCCCTCGTTTTTGACTGACAGCCCTAAACCCTAAACCCTAAACCCTAAACCCTAAACCCTAAACCCTAAACCCTAAACCCTCCATGAGGTTTCACGCCATGCCTTCAGCCAACTTGAAGCCGAGCCTTGTCAGCCACTCGGTGTTTAAGTCATGCAGCCTTTTTGGGTTTAGGGTTTAGGGTTTAGGGTTTAGGGTTTAGTTGGGGTGTTCTCTATGTGCTCCCAAAAGGGTTTTTCAAGGGCTTTAGAGGAGGCTTCAAGCATTTAGGGTCTCTAGGTTACCATATTTTTGTATGTGCTGTACCAGGGTCCATTAGGTAAGGGTTCTACTTAGGATTCTGCACAGGTCCTATAAGGATGCTGTCTGGGATTCCCAAGCAGCACCTTGTTGCTTGTTTTGGGGGAAGGGTGGGGTCCTTATGAGTATGAACACCCCTTCGCATAGGAAGAAAGAGCATTGTTGTCAAGAGGATTCTGGGGAACGAAGGCTATAATGCCGTCCTCGATGCAGCTTGCCATCGAAGTGCCGGCTATACATTATTTTTGCAAGCTTTGCATGCCAACTTCTACGACCACTTGTCCCTTGGCTGCCCACATCCGATGAGTTGCAGCCTTTTAGGCTTCCTTTGGTTGCTAGTCGACAAGAAGACTCTACCACACCGGCAGACAGCCCACTTGAAGCACTCCAAGCAAATGTAATTACACAACATTCAGCCTTTTTACCTTCGGACCACGCGGGATTTCGTCCATCAGCAGTAGGATCTAGGGATTCCGCAGCGGCTTGGCATGGTCATGATCGAAGGGCTCCAAGAGGGCTGTAGATGGATTCTATGAGGGGGGTGCAAGGGTTCCAAAAGAACTCCATGCGGGTTTTGTAGGGCCTTTATATAGTGACTACATGCTTTCTTTCGTGTGTAAGCTTTGCAGCATGCTGAGCTTAACCCCCAAACCCTAAATCATCCTAAACCCAGATCCTAGTCCTCTAAACCGCTTTAGTTTTAAACCCTAAACCCTGAACCTTAAACCCTAAACCCAAGAAGCCGAAGCCCTAAACCCCTAAACCCTAACGAGCCTAAGCTCCAAACCCTAAGTCTCCTACACCGTCAACTCTGAATCCGTAAATCCTGAAATCCTGCACTCCCAAGACCCCTTCGTGGCAGAGCTCCGTACTATAGGGGCCTTAACAGTTTGAATAGGGTTTTGGGTTTTGGGCTCCTTCATACGTAGTACAAATACAAGAAGAATATAATAAGGAACCCCCACAATAATGTAGGTAATTACTGAGGCCCGTCTTTTATGTACGATAGAAGCCAGAATGATCACCATTACCGTTCTTCAGGGTTTAGGGTTTGGGCTCTATGGTTTAGGGTTTAGGGGTGTAGGGTTTACGGTTTAGGGGTTTAGGGTTTGGGGGTTTAGGGTTTAGGGTCTAGGGCTTCAGGTACTTCAACTATTGTATACTAAACTCCTCTCTTCAGAATACAGAAGGCCAGTTCTAATCATTCTAATGATCTCGGCCCCTATGTTATCCACTGCGGTATCCTAGCTAGTTAGTGCCCGAGACTCCGAAGCACGCAAGCCTCGTCCAAAAAATAACTCGGCTCGGGCTTATCTTCCATTATAGATCTCTGGACCGCAGACTCCACAACTAAGCCCCAAGAATTTAATTCTAAATCTGCTGGATAAACCTCCAGGACCAAGCTTACTATGAATTGACCTCAACACCCGAAAGCCACTCAACTGTAAAACCCTAAAAACCCCAGACCCTGATCCCATATAAGCCGAAACCCTCCACCCTAGACCCGCAAAGCCTAAACCCTACGTCCCCAACCAAAAACCCTACATCCTACACCCTGAACTCTACATACATCCTACACCCCCAACCCTACATCCTCAACCCTAAACCCTACAGCCGTCACCAGGCTCCACAAGGGCTCGACGACCTTAGACTTGCATGAGATGTCACCTGGATCAGCCTCTCAGGCTGTTTTTCGTGGTATACTGTTTGGCCCTTTTTGGTTGCTGGGTTTGTATAATCAAAGGACTCACCCGCAAAAAGCATGAACTTGTTTTCTATTATAGTAAGACTCGCCCCGCAAAAGGCTGTGCATATTTTTCCGTAGGTGGTTTTTAAACAGCCGAGGCTCTGCTGGCTGTGAAATGGTGGCTCTCCGTCGTTTTACCAGCTCTCCTTCATCCTCAGAGACGTCAGATATGCACCATTGTGCCGAAGCTTGGTTTAGGGTTTAGGGGTGTGTCGATGTGTTTGCTATAATGGTTAGTTCGTAGCATGACGAGCCCAGCGATCAGCATTGGAAGTTTGTGCTTGGGTCTTTACATGCCTTTGCCCGATCAGACGGCTCAGGTTCTGAATCTTCGGGTCTGCATAGATATCCTTAAACCCCTAAACCCTAAAACCCTAAACCGTAAAACCCTAAACCCCAAATAAACCCTAAACCCTAGTATATAAGTCCCCAAACCCCTAGACCCTCAACCCTAATTAAGCTCCCAAACCCCTAGACCCCAAATCGCTTAACCCCAAACCTTAAAAAACCCTAAACCCCTAAACCGGAAACCCTAAAACACCTTATATAAACCCTAAAAAAAACCCTAAACCCCTAAACCTTAAAACCCTAAACCCCAAATAAACCCTGAACCCTAGACCCTCAACCCTAATAAAGCCCCCAAACTCCTAGACCCTCAACCCCTAAACCCGAAACCCTAAACACTTTAAACCACCAAAAAAAATCTAACCCCCTAAACCCCCGGACCCGTCGACCCCTAAACCCCAAGACCCCTAGACCCTGGACCCTAAACCCTAAACCCTAAACCCCAAGACTCCTAGACCCTGGACCCTCAACCCGTCGAGCCAGTACGAAGGTAACGGGTTGGGGCCGCAGCCGGCCCCGCTGGCGGAAGTCGGATCTTCAAGCTTCAGTGCCCCGGTCGCTGGGTTTTAGGGGATCAGGGTTTAGGGTGTAGGGTTCAGGGTTTAGGGGTTCAGGGTTCAGGGTTCAGGGTTTTAGGGTTCAGGGTTTAGGGTTTAAGGTTTAGGGTGGGTTCAGGGTTTAGGGTTCAGGGTTCAGGGTTCAGGGTTTAGGGTGTAGTGTTCAGGGTTCGGGGTTTAGGGTTCAGGGTTTAGTGTTTAGGGTTCAGGGTTCAGGGTTCAGGGTGGGTTCA